AATTGTTCAAATGTACTACGTTCTCAACTAAAACTACCAAATTTGATCTCAGTTTTTCTCCTCACACAGTCAGATTATGGAATGACGTGCCTCAAAATATGTGATGAGAAAAATGTGTGAGGGGAAAAACTGAGATCAAATTTGGTAGTTTTAGTTGAGAACGTAGTACATTTGAACAATTATGATAATAGATTAGTGATGTGTTTAGACGTGCAGCACTTCTTTTTCGAAGATTATTGAAAAAAATTACTTGCTCTAAGACTATTTGTTTTATATGCGTTTTTAATAATCAGATGGTTCAACAGATGTTGCTTCCAAAATGAGGTATAATGAAGTTTGTAGTTGCATTTGAGAAGGCGAAAACAAGAAAACTATGAACCAAATTCAACCAATTCCCCACCAGTTCCATATAACAATACAACTGTTTTAATGAAAATGAAAATATCAATGGACAAAGAATCTGTAATTAAATCAAATACTATTTACCATGTAACATATTACTAAGGAAGTAATTATCGCATTTGAGGTCATAGTTATCAGTGGATTAGGTGGATATTCGCATTCTTCACCCTTTTCATCATCACAATAGTAACAAGTTTTTGCGTTAATGCTGCAGTCTAGTACTCGAACGTAGAAAAAATATATATTTTTGTTTGATCATATAGATTAAGAATCATTCTACCTGATATTAATAAAAAAATTATTGCTGATAAAATAAAATGTTGTAAAGCCATAATGAGTTTAAAATTAATAAATATTGTTAAAAAATCTAATGAATGAGAAATCAAACTATTTTTTTGTCATTTTTATTAAAATAATAAAATGATGAGAATTTTTTTTCGCTCATCATCAACTTTCATATATTCCAAACTGATGACTCATTATCTTAAGATAATGTATGTTAATTATTAGATAAGTCTATATGAAAAATTCACAAAATCTGTGAGATTTTGTATTGTTTGTGCATTTAAAACATTTAGAACTCTGAACGTGAATAAGGCCTTCATGAAAAAAGCACTTGTTCACATAAAGTCAACTTTTATGTAAGCCCGTAACGTTTTGTGAAGTCTTCAGCCGAGCAACGTACAGAGTTAGGGAACGTCTTATGTAGCTTAAAGATTTTTCTCTCAAATGATAGTTAAGCAAGGTTAATTAGTTTAAGTGACATGATGTTTTAGGTATACGGCATTTTCGTATAAAAGGACCTTATTTACAGAAATTATAGACAGGTGTTTAGGTTAGAGCTAGACTTTGCTTAATTTTCATTTGAAAGGAAAATGTTTAAGCTACAAAATAAGACGATTGCAAGCCATATGGACCGTACCGTTTTGACTCAAATTGTAAAAATCCGAAATTCATTTCGAAATCACTAGAGACTTTGAGAGACATGATATTTTCCGTACTATCACGATTACAGTGAGCGATTTTCGTCCTTGCTCAGAGTAATCAACCCCTAGGAACATCGGAAATATTTTTTAATTTTTTTAATGAGAGTTTAATTGGATCAGATGTGCCTTTACAGCACCTTTCGCTTCTTAGACGATAAGTCTAGCTTTTTCGATTATTTTGATCAACTTTACTTTCTAAAAACGTGACGAAACATTTAATCTTAAAATAAACATTTCTTTCTCAGTATAAAACAAATGAAGCCTCAATTTTGTGGGCTCCTAAAAGAACTTCTTTTGAGATTTTTTCTTTTACCAATGGATATTTTATCAGTCGAGCAATCTTTTGACTATGTCGGAGTTAGATTTCATGCAAGTTCGTTAGACGGAAAAGGCTCGTGAAGTGTGATGTTACATTTTTAACCTTTCTCGAGTCCACGCATTTTAAGACCGAGCACGACTAACGAGGAAACGTTCCCAACTGCCAAATCGTTTTCGAGCTAATACCTAGCGGACTATAGCCGAATATCAACATGAGACGGGCCGGTACGGCTCTACAGACTGGTTTTCTGGAAAACCAGTTTTTCAGACACTCTAAATAATAACCAAACCTTTCTTAATGAGGTGTGATTGTAGTCCGTGCATTTCTGATTGAAATGAGACATCTCTCAGCTCTACGTGATCTTTCTTTTGCAAAGTTATAGAATTTGCAAGAAAAGCCTTAATTTATTTCTGTAGCTTTGAGCTGACAATGAACATTTAGGGCTTTTCTTGTGAATTCTATAACTTTGCAAAGAAAGATCGTGTAGAGCTGAGAGATGTATCATTTTAATCAGAAATTTGCGGCTTAAAATTATGCCTCATTAAGAAATTTTTTATGAAAAGTCGTTGTGTGGAAGAGGAGTTATAAACTGGATCATGAAATTTTCTAGAACGATACATATCGACAGGACTTCTCCCATACATTACTTAGTTTTCTGCATATCTGTTTAGTCATGTTTTATGTTTAGATTGGATTCTGATGATACGAAACAAGTAGACAAAAACAAAATTTTCAATTTTGACTTGAAATATGAATTTCAGAGACATATGTTCCGTTTTCAATTGCAAAGAAAATAATGGAGGTCTATAATACTCTTTGTTAAAATAATAGTGAAATGAATAGCGTTTGCTATTATGTTCTATGTGTTTACGACTGAATTATTGTTAAAAATATGACGAAAAAGTCTTTGCATAAATTTATCAAATTTAGGAAACAAGAACGAATGAACAACAATATCACCGTCATCATCAAGAAATCATCGCAGGAAAATACTTTAATTCTCATATAAAAAGGAATAATAGGAAACGAATGGAAATGAATATTGAAACTGGAATGATAATCTGAATTGGTATGTAGAAAAGTATCATGCACATCTATATAGTTACATTTTTAATTAGTAGAACCTACGTTGTCCTTGATTGACAAATATTCTTAGTTTAATATAAGCACGGCCAAATATATTTCGTCCAACACACACATAGGTTCCAGAATGAGCTAATTGAGGCTAGTAAGAATCAACGTTATGTTAGAGAATATTTCCTTTTGAAAACTCGGCAAAGAATACTTACATTGACAAGTTGTAATAGTTTCTGTGATACTAAAAGTTGGTAATGTCTTGTAAAATGATCAGCAGGTTTAAAGTACCACTCGTAACTAGGATATGGATATCCATCAATTTGACACGATGTTGACCAACTTAAACCTTGATATAAATACAGTGGATGATCGAAAAAAGAGTGAGGTAATTTATGGTAAGGTGGACCTAATAAATCAATGGATCTGAAAGAATACTGATACAAGAGATAGATAAGAACAGTCACCGGCTACGTGAAGGGTAAAATTCCATCGTTTTGTGGTAAATATATTTGATGCTGTGCATGTATAATTTCCAACGTATATTGATGTCACACGATTTATTTGTAATTTGTTTGTGTCCAAATTATGTTCGATGCCAAAACGATTTGTAAAAATAATAGTAATGAGCATTGGTGGAGGAAAACCTTTCACTTGGCATAAACGAATAAATTTTAAATATTTTGTGCCTATATAAACCGATTCGGCCCATGGTGATACTAATACAAGACTCTCTAAACCAACATGATTAAAATGATGTCATAGGCAGCTTTGAAATGGAGAAATTTCTCACCGTTAGGAGTCAAAGTAGTTGCAGTACCAACAAAAACGATGATATCTTGTTTGATTGTTCCATGCACATTTCTTGAACGACATCGATATAAACCTTCATGCGTTGAACGAACCTACGAGTCAAAGCTCTATTGTTAGAGATCAAAAGGTGTTTCTATACTTGTTAACTACATGACTAATTTCTAATAATGTTCGCTTTGATACGGGTATAAACTCATGAAAACGATTTTTATGTAACCAGTAGGTAAATGGTGCCGGATTTGAATATACTTGACAATGAATGGCTAATTTAGATCCAATTTGAGCGTATACATACGTGGGAAAACTCACTCGGATACGTGGTTTACCTCGAAGTAAATTGATCTGACATATTATTATTCATGAGATTCTTATTGTCGAGATCTTTCTCAACGTACTTTCTACATTCAATCGAAATGTCCAATTACTCGTTTTAAAATAATTGAATCCTGTACAAACGTACAAACCACTGTCCTCAACTATTGCATAGGTAATATTTACATCGGCACCTTTAAACTACATTAAAATTTAATGTTGATATTTAAAGAAAGAGTATGACCAACCTTGAACATATTTTTTCCCTTGTAAACTATAGAATGCGATGTAAACAATTGGTCTCGGATGTCCATGAACAATACATCGTTTATACAAACTATTACCTTCAGTCAAAATAAACGAACCTTCCCAATCACTTAATAATCTTGGATCAGCTGTTGATAAAATATCAACGATAACTGTTGTGATTTGGACATTGATTACAAGTCTGTACTTACTGTATGGGATCATCATTGTTGTCGTATACGTGTCTAACAATATTTTCAAGTGTAAATCAGTATATCATAGAAGAACAGACTACTTACAATTAATTTTAAATATGGCAATTTTCTCTTGGCTACCGTACATGTATTCACTATCAAAATCATCGATCGAGCCTGGATATTCAATCATTTGTCGACAGAGTGTACGATTTACAACAATTGGCTTCATTACTGATGAACAATAACAATTACTAAGAATAAAACAACATTTACCTCTTAATAGTTGAATAGTGTGAACTGGTCTTACCTTTTGAAATACAGATCTTTTAGATTAACGACTGTGGAAGACAAGCGTGTCGAGATATTTGTTGTCATTGTAGATAAATATTGATTAATTTGATCACGTAACGCTGGCGTCAAATATCCACTTTGACCATGTTTTTGAGCATCATCAACGTATTCATCAATTAGTTGTATGAGTTGAGCAGGTATGGATGAATCCAGTGACAATAAATTTAAATAGAAATTAATCAGTCCATGAAATTCAGGATATTGTTGATTATAATTTGTCAATGAATTTTGATAATTTTGTATTGAATATTGTCGAACTAATTTGAATAATAGTGAGGGTAGATCTTCCTCATGTAATATGTTATCGATACTTGTTGATAAACTATGAATAAATCCCAGTACAATTGAATGTGATTGATAGTTAGCTTTGTGAACTGAATTGAACATAGGGATAGATGACGGTCATTGGGTTGCGATTAAACGATGACTTTACCTGATGAGTTATATTCAGATACGAGAGAATAAAAATCATTTCTAATATTAGTTGATAGATTCGAAAACGCTTGTGTTAACGTCAAATATTGTAAAACTAATTCAATCAAAAGTGGTGATGGGCGCGTAACTGATTGGAAATACAGCTGAAGCAATATCAGCGAACTGGCATCAGTTTGTGACAACGATGGTTCCTTTAAATTTGATAAATAGTTTGAAATTAATTCAAGCAGTAGTGGTGGTTGTCGCAGTGATGGTTGTTTTTCAATCTCCTGTTGGATGGTGATTAATCTTTGAGCATTTATCTCAGCTGATTGTAAATGTTTAATAGTAAGGATCAATGGTGTAGGCAATTGAGAATAATCAAGTGCCGTAGATAGGATTTGATTCAATTTTAGGCAATAATTGAATTGTGGTTGACTACACACACTTGATATTGTTGCTGATGGATTTTCTGATGAAATACTGGCTAGAAAAGAAAAAATGGTTAATAATCACAACCTTTTACATCAGATGAATCTGACTTATTGGAGATATATTTAAAAAAGTTCTAATTTTTCCTTGAATATCTTGTAATAATTGCGGATTCAATATTTTGCTATTTCTCACTTTAAAATATTCTATAATCAATTTTTGTAGTTTGAGATCTTGTGGTGATTTGACATATACCATGCTTAACCAACTAATTTCAGGATATTTATCAATGTTCTCGTAATCAACAGCATATTGTTCAATTAAATCCATTAATATCATAGGCGGTAATTGGTTTGGATTTTGAGCAAATATATTTGTTAAACCATAAATCAAGGAGTAAAGAGTTGATATCGATCGATTATCGGATTTTTCTACTGAAAATCAAATGAAATAAATCTTTTTAAATAAGTATTCTAGAAAACAAATATATTTTTGTGATTTACATGAAAGTCGATATTGTTCGATCAGTAAGTTAAACTTTAGTAGTATTTCTTCTGTTACATCTGGTATTGATTTAAGTTGAATGTAGGCATAAGACAACTCAATTAAAATTGACGTTGGATTTTGTATTAACATACTGTAAAGTTCAATTAAATTTGTGGACACCAAAAATTTGTTTGGATTTGTTGATTGTTGAATAGCATCTTCGACTAATTCAGCTAACAGTGGCGGACGAGGTTCGTTCATAAATTTCATCAGTTGTTGAATTGATAATAAGATTGATGTTTTATTTGAACTTGAGTCTAACATTGTGAATAGCACACGAATACCAGCTGGTAACTGGATAGTATTTACCGATTGGATAATTTTCAGATATCGATTAAGCTGTTTACAATAGGTTACAGATGGAGAACCACAGACGAACAACGGTGATGAGATGGTAGAAGGAGAAATGGAAGTTGTGTACTCTTGTATCCCTGTGTACTTTGCCTGCATTGTTAAACATTTTCCAATGCACATACTTGGCGGAAGTAAACTACCGTAACCTTCAATACTGTAGACAAGTTTTAATTCATGTTCTTGTTGTAAGTGACTTAGTGTACAACCTTCATATACAATGTAGAGTCGAACACTGTCGTTGTAATAGATATCTGTTTCTTCGATGTGAACATCTTGATGAAACGTCGATAAGCGAAGTAGATTTATTTGAGGTGGTATTATCAACGATGGAGGAGAATAAATTTGACCTGACGAAAATGTGATCATGGTGAAATAGATGAACATTAGGTGACAGGCTTCTCTCATTATAGACAAAATCTTTTATCGACCAGAACTAATCTAATTAGTGATCGATTTAATCAATAGAAATATACATACATTCTTGCTAGGAGAGAGAGAGGAGTTTCTATTTAATTTCTTATTTGTTGTGAAATTTCTCTAATCATCTCAGAACAAAAGCAAATGCATCATTATCAAAAACTGTTTTTAACTACTGGAAGTAGTCAGAGATATGACTCAAAAAGATTTTCAGATTTCATTTCAAGCTTGAATGCAACATTATCGGATCCAATATCCGAACATTATATATCCGAAACATCTTGTTTTCCATCACATTGCTCGCACGTGACCACAAGTGAAAAGATATGTGACCACGCGTGAAAAAGTTATCGGTCTGTGATCAGACGTGAACAGTTCACGAAAACATACATGTGACGTTTCTGCCGCGTGACCGCTAATGAAACTCGAGAGGTGTGTGGTGACTGCGTGTGGATTTTTCGCGTTAATATTTCAGTAAAAAAGTTCCACTTACGAACACGCATCAGAATGTCTAGAACGAATTTTATTATAAAAGGTAGCACTTCGCATTAATGCACGTGTAATTTTTTCATGCAGTTCTTTTCTATTCACGTTTATCCACAAGTGAAAATGTTTCGATCAGTCGAGAGTAACCTGAAACTCTGTGCAAAGGTGTTTAGGGTATAACTTTTTGATCGGGAATGTTTATTTATTTGATATAATAAGTGTGCAATTTTTACAAGAGGGAGAAAGCGCACTTCGCCACTCCAGCCACTCCGCGAAGTAAAGCACACTTCACCGAGCTCCGTACAATGGTCCGGAGTGGCGGAGTGTGTTTTTTTCTTTTGGAATAAAGTAGTGATATTTCTCTCACTGAAGATACTCCATCGCTTTAAGCCCCCTCGTTAGAAGCATAAAATGTGCAAACAGTTGATATTGCACTAAATACATCATCAGATAGCCCACAGTATCTACTACCAGGATCCAATGTTATATGGTCCTCTTCGAAGGATTATGGCGGTTTTTAAAATGTTTTTCGAAACCTTGAAAATGTGACTTTTCGAAAAGAATTTACTTCTCGATGAGAAAACAAATCTAAACATACTTTCAATAATACTGCTAAATAGAGCAAACATTTCTGATCAAAATCAGATATCTCGCAGCTCTGAAAGATATTTTAATCAAGAGTTATGAGACTTTTACTGGAAGCCCGAAAACATGCATCAGATACTGTGGCCACCATATCTCGAAAGCGATTTTCACCTTAAGGCCATTTCATACCTGCAAGATTTCTCGGTACCGAAACATCGCAGAGAGCCCGGGAAGGTCTTAAACCGAAGTTGACACATGTGGCTAAAGGCTAGTAGAGTCCGATTTTTGATATTTGGTTTAGCCTTATGGTTAGAAAAATATTTTTATGCAAGTTAATAAGACTTTTTCGAATCTTAGACTTTTGACGCTGACCTTGAAACAATTCAATCGTGTTTCTCCTTATACCAGTGTACTCACTCATTCTAACTGTGGAGGATATCGTATATTTCATAAGCAGTTTACAAACAAGCTTTTCATTTTTAATCCCGTTTACTCATTTCGAAATTATTAAGCGAAATAGTGATACTACTCACGCTAATCTATCCGATCATAAACGAATATTTTCTTAGTCTCCTTGAAAATAAACTTTCTTCTCATTTTTCGTCACCATTTGAACAATACTCACTCACTTTGTTCCTCAAACTTTCCAAATGATTTCAAAATCATCTGACAAAAAATCACATACAAACAGATGGAGAATTCTCTATGCGACAAAATGAGCTATAAATAAGCTTTCTGAAACTATGCTCATATAAAATAATTGTCGAAATACTAGAGAAACATCATCATTTTCACCTGCATTAGTGGACAAAATTATAGAAACGATTTGTTTTAGTTATTTCTCCTCAACCATGTAAGGAAGAAAAAATCTGAAAAAAGATAAAAGGTCGCATACCACCAAAATTAACGGCAGAACAAGAACGACATTCCGTCAGACATTTCTATAGACTGGATGCTGTTTCATGAAAAAATGTCGCTCAGAGCTACACGAGGTCTCCTTTTGTAGCGTGGAAAAGTCTCTATCTTTCTACATTAAAAGAAATCCGGTTCTGAGTAGATGCATAGAAGAAAAAGTCCAAAATAAATTATTTTCTGTATATGGATGAGTGAAAAACCTTGGATTTCTGAAATTTCTACTCCGCTCGAAATCCTTAAGTAGTGGAATTTATCAAAATCCGTTTGTCCTTCATATTGTAAAAATTGAAACCTACCGATGTTGCAGAGCTGTTGAGTAAAAGGATAGAGAAAGACAACTTTGCTAATTCAGAAGCCTCTGATTTAGCTTTAAGATGAATAAAATTCCTTAAGTTTCCTTCAGCCCACAGCACTCCGAACCACTCCAAGCCACTTCGGGTACTTTGACATTCCAGGGACTGCGCCTTTTCCCCTTTGAATTTTTAGCACCAACGTTTTCCCTAAAATTACTCATACAGGTGAGGGATTCTAATATACCATATACAGTGTTAAAATTCATCACCCGTGTGATTTTCCACCTATAGATTTCAGAATTTTTTAAGTCAAATTCTTACGAAGATCCACGCGTGGTCGCACGTGAAAAAATTTTCACGCGTGAAATATGCTGAAAATTGATCGTTAAGCATAAGTACAAAATTTATTCCACATTCTCCGATGGCAAGTTGGCTCAATGATAACGTTACGGATTTGCAATTCAAAGTGCCTTGGTTCGATTCTAAATTTCATAAAATATATACCTCGAAAGCCACGATTGTATCACGTGTGACCATGCATGAAGATTGTTCACTTGTGTACACGGCTGCAGATTTTTCAAGCAAATTTTTTCCCTAAAATTTCCGTGGAGCATTTCGTGTGTACACGGGTGAACACGCATGGACACGCATTTGACATTGCCAGTGCATGGTCCCGAAGTCGTAAAACTTTCTGTCTTGCCCTATACAATTTGACATTTCACGATCTCTCATGCGTGAAATGTCGATAAACTTTCCCCATGGGTATGGTTGTATAAGGGATCGCTCAAAAGTCGGTTAATCATATTAGGCGGTTATTCTTTTTCTGAATTGTACACTTATTAATTATCGATTGCTTTTCGTTTTGTATCAGTGGAGGTTCACCTATAAAAGTGTTTTTCATTTTCTATTAATTAGTTATAATTGGATGATTCCTTAGCATAATTATGCATAATTGTCTTCTCTACCGATTGAGACTATTCATTCAGGGTGTTCTAAAAAGCGTTTACGGGAGATGAACACATCTGGGCAATGGAATTCTAGAAATTGGTTTTTAGCGCAACCTCCAACAGAACTGTATTCCTCAAATAATTTGCTACCAATTTTTATCCACAATCTAGGATTGTACCGCCAACTGTTCGCGACAAAAGCAGATATTTAGAAATTCTGCGGTCAATTACAAACCAGCATTAGATTAAACATTACACACCTTCTTTTTAAAAAAGCGCAATTGAAATTGGAACTAGTGGAGAGTTGGTTGGATTTGGTTCATACTTTTCCTGTTCTCGTCTTCCAGCATCCGAATACAAACTTCATCATACCTCGTTTTAGAGACCACATCTGTCCAACAATCTCATGTATGCAAACACATAAAAAACAAACAGTCTTAGAACAAGTAACTTTTTTCAGTAATCTTCAAAATAGAACTAGTGCTCGCCTAAATACATCACTCATCTATTATCATAAAAATTCAAATCAGTATGTCACCCGTACGCCGCTACGCACTTCCAATGACTCTGCCATGCTTCACCTCCTCGAACAAACATTTGGTTCCCTCCAAGATCAAGACTCGTGAAAGTTTTATTTACTTTGCATGCATCTGCCAGTGCTTTACACCCTCGAACAGATATTTCGTTCCCTGTAAGATTAAGAGTGGTGAGAGTTCTATTCACTTTCAATGCCTCTCGAAGCGCTTCACCTCCTACATCAGATATTTGATTGTAGCTAAGATCAAGAGGGGTGAGAGTTTTATTCATTTCCATTTTCAAGGCAGTACATGCAGCTTGCCAATTTTATCGTAACTCTAGTTCGATAGGATCTGAAAATTCGTCGAAATCATATAGAATATGACGAAAAAGATTTCTGACGCGGTAGTCGAGCCCGAGATTAAATTGTAAATCTCGACTTTTTAAAATTTGTTTCTGTATATAGATTTGCTCGTTATTTTTATCATTGTATATCTATCATATTAACCACTACGCAGGTGTTGAAAATCTTGTTCTTCTAAATTGTTTTTCTTTCCTCTTCAACAGATTCCAGTTTTCTGTTGCATTCTTCAATCGTCTTCGCGTTCACTCATCAGGACAATATTTTCTTCATTACGTTCTACGCTCTAAAAAAGTCGGTGTTTTAGAAAATCAGAAGAGTATAACATACGGAATACAAAATCGATTTTAGTGCTGTACGAGATAAGCTTAAAATATAAAAAGAGTCGTTCGATCCTGCAGGAAAGTATTAATGTGGTACGATGCATTGCGCAAACCTATAGCTTTTTGGTTAAAAGATATAAAAAATCTTTTGCGTTGGTTCTATTTCCCATCGTACCTGTGGGAAAGGTTTAGCGTGGATTTTGACAAATAATTACTTTCATTGCTGCCTTTGGTTAACCGACGGGACGTATCATTCGCCAAAATATACAAAGTCGAGATAATTTCATTAAAATCCAACCATATAGGTAAAATTACTTTGGCTCTTTCCGACTTACTGACGAAATTTTCATACTGGCGAGGAACATGGTTTATTTTTCTGAGTGTGCAGATATGAAAAAACAAGCTTTTTGAATTAGAAACACATCAAACGCAGTTTTAAAAACCTTATTATTTTCGAGGTCGGAAAGGGAACTTCAATCAGAAACAACAAGCTCTTCCGTGTTTTTTTTTTAATATAAGCTTTATTCTGTCAGAATACAAGCGGAAGAATATTCCATTATAGTATTCTAAACTAAAACTATCAAAAAACACAAAATCAATTTTTGTATGAATAGAGATTCGAACATGTGAACTTAGCTTTGTAGTAAATCACAAAACTAAATTCACCGACTGTTTTCAACCACAGTATTACATTTTACCTGTTCTCCCATTTTATTCAAAAGAAGAATTATATTATCGTTGTTCACAGTTCGCCTCAATGTATTTCAATACTATTTTTTTATTTTTTGCGTAATCTATAATCCATTGATGTGTAGGTGACAATAATAACAAACCGGATTCAATTGCTGACTGGAAACTTTTTAACGCATCATCGTAACGCTTAGCTTCAAAATATATGACACCGATATTATTATACACAGCTGATAAATCAACTGGATTACGGTTTGTAGGTTTTAATAGAATATTTATTGCTTCTTGATAGTTTTTCATAGCCACTTCATTCTGTCCCCTTTTATAATGGATGTAACCGATATTATTGTAGAGTTTACCAAGCGATCGATCATTTGATGATAACGATTTTGTTATCAGATCAACGGTATTCTGTAACACATCACAGGAAGATTCAAAAATAAAAGTACCCTCGCAACGCACCACTTCTATATTAGATTGTGCAATCGGTATCGATGATGGGTACTCTGCGCTTATACTTTTGATTGCGCAGTTGAAGTAATATTCAGCAAGATCGTATGCACCTTTTTCACACTGAAGACAACCACGATTATTATAAATTGCACCTATATCTTTATGATTTTTAGGCAATTCTTTTAATAATATCTCATAGTATTTATCGGCTTTGTTATAATCTTTAATTTCACTAAGAAAATTTCCCAATGTTAATAGTGTTGGTATATCGCCAATCTGTTGTTTTAAGTAATCAGTCAATTCAACACATCGTTGATTTTGTTCACCGCTTGATCTGAGCACAATATGCCACAATGCCTCTTCGTCTTGTACGACAGACTCGATACACCATACTGTCCCAATTGAGAATAAAACTTCACTCTCATCTGGGATGGCACTGTAGTCTTTTATAAACGCAAATGGTTTTGTTTTAATGTGATTATCGACAATCAATTGAAACAGTACTCGCTCATAGCCTTCCCTGACTGGATTATCTCGGCCGCCGTATATATCTCTGATTTGCTCCGATGTTGTGGCTGATAAAAATCCGTTTATCGAAATTAATCCGCTGACATTTTCTTGTAAATTATAAACAATACTTGACGGCACTACTTTACCTCTGAAGATAATTTGTGGTGGAGTGTCAATGGATGGGTTGGATTTCTGGATGGATTTCTCATACAATTCAAGTAGTTGATTATGTATGTCAGTTATAATGAGGCGAAATGTATATAACCAATCAGGATCTTGTGTATTTAAAACTTTGTTTGTTAAACGATAGCAGAAACAAGGACGCGTATACCACCATATAGCTTTATCCGAAGAGTAATGGGAATTGAACTCCGAAATATTTTTTTCTTCCTCGTGATCGTTTCGATAAAAATGTCTACATGCTTTTATCATAGTTTCTTTTGTATTTTTTGTGACTGACATGCGTAGCATACCTAATAATATTTCAATAATTAACTGAAAGCAGATAAATGCAACGGAATTTTTGTTTAAATTTTTCATTGAGCAATTCTTCTCACTAGGACTAAATAAATTGATGGTCGGTAATATTTCCTTGTAGGAGTTACACAATTCTACAGCCGATTGATTAGCAATGTCTGTTGATATTTTTTGGTACAATAGATCATCATTATACACAAAAATGCGATTGTGATCGGCTTGTTGCAGCTCCTTGTTGCAGCTGTCATATTCAGATATGTTTTGACAGATAATATATATAAACAGAATATTTGAACGTTTATTTATGAGCGGAAGAATAAATCGACTAAAAGAACTCGAAACCATAAAATAAATGTTTCTTTTTGCGCGTACATTGACTATATATGAAATACATTCACATGGCTCGTCGAATGGTTTTAAATTATTAAAAATACGTGTTAGTTGAGCGAATGCGTGAGTATTATCCTTGTAAGACGAATCGAGCCAAATGCCAATAAAATTTTGATTGTTTTCGTTGACATTGAGCAAGGATAACACTGTATCATCGCATTCAACAATCGTTGACCTAGAAAAAAGAGCTGAATTCTACTGTCCGCATGTCGACCACATGCTTACCGAGCAGTTACTATATTAGGAAATTCGTCCATTCACTGTCTCATGTAGTCATAAATTATCTAAAAGTGATTGTAATTTTAGCAAACATAAAATGTAGTGCAGTACTGAGAAAGTTAAAACATTACAGCAGTATAGAGCATCCGTTTAAAACTAGAATTTTCGACTCAATATTGTTTCGTTTAGTTAAAACAAGAGAAACAACTTGCGTACAATATAACAAAAATACGTAGTACAAATATCAATTGTTTACGCTAGCTGAATTTACTGCTGCTGAAATATTTTTAAGATAACATGTAATCAATGAATTTTCTGCTGGCAAGATTTTTAATGCTCTATCAAATGCTTTTTCAAAGTAATGACGAGCTTTTCGAAAATCACTTCTTTTATAATACACACAACCGATATTATTCAGTATATCGACTTTTTTGATTGTGTTATCATCTGGTAGGCAGTCATACGCTTTTTCAAAATTTTCTAACGCTCTATCATAATCAAGTTTGTGAAATGACACACATCCCAGATTGAAATACAATATAGCCGGAGATGCGCTATTCATTAATGGAGGCTTCAGTATGCTATCAACTATTTGTTGCTGAGTGTATGCTTCATTAGAGGATGAACTTTGTATTGCTCTATTCAATCCAGTTTGATATTGTTGTAGTGCTACTTCATAATCACCCTTATGCTCATAAATAAGTCCAATATTATAATTAATAATTTCTATAGCGTCATCATCAAATTCATATACACCAAGTAGCGTTTTATAATAACGCATTGCTTCATCCGATTCACCAACTTTACAAAAGAAATTTCCCAAAGTCATAAGTGTGAGAGGGTGTGGAAACTCATTTCTTATACGTTCAAGTAATCCTTTAACCTTACTTAACTGTCTATCAGTGAATGATAACTTCACATGCCAAATTCTTCTGGTCGGTATTTGCGCTACAGACTCTATTCGAAATATTGAGCCAGGAGAAAACAGAATATCACAGTTTTCTTTGTAGCCTAGGGTTTGTATGCTGCTAAATGATGCCGTATCGGATGTGCAATCGATGACAATTTCGAATAAGACGAATTCGTATAATGGATCGATGTTCGTTGAGACAGCATTTAGAGCTGTCTGATTAGACATAGTACCAGAAAAGAATGTTTTTATTAATGCAACTTCGCCGATGTTCTTCTGGATGTTTTTCAATTCCCCCATCTGCATCATCTCTACTCCATAAACTGTAAACGGCCTGCAATCAGGTAAGCAACGTTCGACTAGTTGACGATGAATATCAGCAATAAAATATCGAAAATGTAATATATCGCTCATATTTTCAGTTCGAAGCGCTATGTTTAGTGACTGCCGAAGAAATTGATTTTTTTCGTACCATTGAATAGCCATCTCACTTGAATAATTAGACTCAAACTCGTTAATTATTTGCATTTCTCTTTCATCTTTTAGATACTGTGAACGGTATATTTCTAACATTTTGGCATAACAATTGTTTGTTGTTCTCACTGTCGGTGTCCGAAGTACTGCGTCGATTAATAATTGAAAGAAAATAAATTTGACCTGTTGTTTGCTCAAAGTTTTCATTGTTAATTTATCAATAGTTTCAGAACCGATAAATACTTTAGTGAAAAAATCTGTATGACTCGTATCTATATTCGTAATTGTGTCTCCTTGGACTGAAAAAATTGTCAGTAACACATCTTTCCAGAGTTTGGAGAGAAGCAGATCTTTGTGATGAAAAATATTCGATAGTTTAAAGTAGTTTTTGTCCATTCGAACCGTAGCTTCTTTTTGTCTATCATCTTCGAAAATGTAAATCGAGACAATTTGCGGCAAACCATGAATTAATGGAATAACGTATTCATAGAATAGACCAGATGTGACAAAAAAAATGTTTTTATTTCGAATCGATGTTATACATGCAATACATAATAGAGGATCGTCGAATGTTTTTGTGTATTCAATTAATTCTGGAATTAGAATAGAACTGTCAGTGATATCGAGATAGATAATTGTCAAAATCCGTTCTATTTCACTTATTCCTTTTGTTGGTATTTGCAGACCTTTAAGGCAAAAGAAACTGAATATGTTAATCTAGCACTGTGAAACTTGTCCTTACCAGAAACAGGTACAGTTGCAGTGCAAAAGAAACTTTGTATAATTTGTTGTACTTCTGGTAATAAATGAACTCCACCGTCATTGTCTAGTTCGGCTGTTTGAAATCTACCCACTCTTTCATCACTTAGTGTTGTTATTGCTGCTTTGACTAACTCACATATTTTGCTTGTATTAGGATGTTCGCCGTTTTCGTTAACCATGCTCTTGATCAATGTTAAAAGATTCGCTACCGTGGCTTCTTTTTCATCAATAGCAGCTGTGTTAGCGACGGCAATATACCGACCATCACAGCATTTAATTAGATCCAGAAGAATTTTTCTTGAGTTTAGGAGTAATTGATCAATTTCCATATCTTTTTGATGAAGACAGTCTAAGTGTGTGAAAACACAAATGGAATACTTCAGAGCATCAGGCCCAAATATCTTGCTCAGTTGTTCAATAACCGTTAGGTCATCTTTGGTAATATGACGAAGAGGAACAGCAATAAGAAATACATGAGGTCCCTGAACGGTCAGACTTATGACTTTTGCTATTTCGTGAAACATATCTTCCTCCCTATTAGCAGTTCCATCGAAAGTTGACGTATCCACAACAACCATATTTGTATTGTTGAAAGTTCGAGTACCAGCACGGATTTCTGTTGCTAATGAAGGATCGAGACATTTTTTTCCTAATATGGTGCCTGCCAGAGAAGTTTTCCCTAAATGAAAAATCCTATGTAGAAGCCTTGGTTCGATGGACAAAAACTACTTTAAAGTATCGAATATTTTTCATCACAAAGATCTCCTTCTCTCCAAACTCTGGAATGAT